CATCTCCGTTTCAAAGCCAAAGAGCCAGCTCTGTCTGAAGACATCTCCGTGGTCATATGGCCAGCATGACTAAACGCCGAAGGCACACGGAACACTATTACTTTCCCACCAAAGGTGGTTCCTATTTTTCTACTTGCATTTTTACATGCTTTCGAACTAGGTTGGCAGAAGCTGGGACAAGTCACAGGACTCACTCCGGTACGCGGCAATAGGGATTCAAACTGCCGAACTGCTGACCTTTCTGATCAAGAAGTTCAGCATCTTAGCCACTGAGCCACCACATCCCATCATTATATATTACTTTAAATTCCTCTTATAATTAATATCATAACCGCCCTTCTTTTGGTATTTCTACCCATTCATCTTCCCAGATCCATGCTTGTTTTCTTCCATGTTAGTTTTCTCTTTTAGAAAAAGAAAAAACATGGCACAATACTACAGCAGCTTTTTACATAATTTCCTTCTTTCGTACAGCAGACTTTTTTTAAAGAAATATGATCCTTAATATCTGTTCTGCGGAAATGGCTAATGGTTTTCCACTATCAAGGAGCTGAACATTTCTGATTAGCAGTATGAACGTCATTGATATGTGCCTAGAAGCCTTAAGTAGCAACTGTGAAATGCTGTTGAGTCAACAGTCCAAGTAGGAGATAGGCCTTGTTCCACAGTTGATCATTTCAGATTTAAATCAAGCTGATAATAATAATAATAAAAAATAAAATCTCCTCTTCCATTTTCTGTGCACCCATAGCAACAGATATGATAGTCATGAACCGACAATAATTACCACCTCACCTTTTCTCAAGTGCTCCTAGCAATGAAAACATGTCTTTGGACTCTGAAGGCCAAGTCTTAATGGAATGAAAAAAGCAGCCCATAAAAATAAAAGTGCTCTTGCTTTTAACAGCACTTCTAATATTTTGAAAATGCACTTTTCAAAACTATTTCCAATGCCATAAGTACACACTTTTACAAAGTAGACATATATACATCCGTCACAAAGAACTTGGACGAATACTTGGAGAATTGTGGCCTCTAAAATGTTAGTAAAAAATATGCAGTCTCCAGTTATAAGAAAAACTTTCCCAGACATTAGAATACATATGCAGTGCTACCTCTTAATATGTTGCAATAAAATAAAGATCATATCTAACTAAATGCAAGATGCAACTTTGCAACTGAAAACCTGATTATTTCAGGAGAAAACAAAATGCAGTAGACAATTGTAACTACGGATGCTGGGATATCTTTTTAATTTTTCCTTTCACTTGACAACTATTCTGATAGAAATTGGAACTGACCAATAGAGAAAGGTGTATTATACAAAAAGGAGGAATGAACATCATATATCATTTCAGTTTAATGTAACTGCCTTAGCCATCATTCATAACAACTATTCTTAATGTTATGGTTCACATTTGTTCATTGAGGTAGCCAGACATTTTTCAGATTTCCTACTAAATTTGGGTGGGGGGGATGCTGCTACTTTAAGAATCTGCTTGTTAAAATTAATTAATTGAATTACAATTGATTAAAATTAATCAAAGACTTAAATAGCAGCCACTATTACAGAAGTCTGGAAAAAAAATTGAATCAGTTTAGATTAATAATAGAAATGTGCTATGTGCTACTCTGAAGATCAAAGCATTTATCCCAACTTCTTTTTAATGTGTGTACAGCTCTAATGTGGAGGCCTTCAAACAGGAATAAAGCAGCGTTTCTTAGCCTGAGCAGTTAGAAAATGTGTGAGCTTCAACTCCCCACATTCTTGGCTGGGGAATTTCAGGAGATGAAGTCACAAAACTGGTTGGGGAATTTGGGAAGCTGAGGTCCACACATCTTCAAGTTGCTGAAGTTGCGAAACACTGGTTGAAAGACACAACAGGAGTAGACAGAGAAGACATCTCGACCTGCTGCAGCCTCACAGACAACCTGAGAACTAAGCCAACCTCAGTAGAGTTTTAACATTTGGTTCTCAAGCTCATCCTTCTCAAGAAGGGTAGTTTCCAGCTACAATGAATCCTCTGAGTTCTGCTTCCAAAGGATTACCCTGCATTTTTTTTCCTGCTGGGCTTTAGGAACGATCAGTAGCAGTAGCCAGGAAAGATGGCATTGCAAGGTGCCAGAGGGAGCTGCTGTTTCAACACGTGGGACTGAGTCTATAAGTTCATTTCATATGCTTTTGAGAATGCAAAAACAAAGCAAAATAAAACCACTCCTTTCATTCCCATCAGTTATTCTAGTACTAGTTGTTCATATTGTTACAGTACTGTTCTCTACAGCCACGTAATATCTGCAGCACAAATAAGGATTATTTAGCGTGACTGATACTATAGGTGATGATAGCATTGGGAGTGGGAGGAGTGGATATGTACATAGGACCCAGGGGTTAAGGTAAATTCTTTATAGTGGGTTTTCCCCCAATATAGTTATGGTGCTTTTTGTTTATTTTATGGTTATGTAATGTAGATGGTTGCTATATGTACTGGACACTGAATCAACAAGTCAATAAAAAAAAAGAAGGCAAAGAATAGCAGTCAATAAGAAGCGGTAACTAAAATAGCAAAAATGGCATTGGGCTAGCCATAAAATTGTGCAAATATTTGGCTAGTTGAGTATTTCTAACTACCACTATCATCATTTTGCTTGGTAAATTTGCTAATTTTTGAATTAAGTCTAAAAAGCAAAAGAGAAAGAGGGGGAAGGGGGAGAGAGAGAGAGGGAGAGGGAGGGAGGGAGAGAGACAGAGAGAGAGAGAGAGAGACAAACAGACAGACAGACAGACAGACAGACATGGGGTCCGGTTTAATATCTAAATCAAAGATGGACAGTGGATGCCAGACTACATTTCAGACAATAAATCAAGGATGTACAACTTCTGTCATAGGAGGGTTCCACTAGGTTTGAGTGGCATTTCAAAGGCCACACTCCAAAAGTGAGCCAAAGCAGGACCCAAGTGGCCTCAATGTTGTGAGGGGCACCAAAAGAGTTTTTGTACACCACATATGGCTTACATGCTACCCTTATTTCTCTGCAACCAATACTTAACAGTTATGAAATATATAGAAAATATACAAGTATTTATCTGCAAAATCTATGCAATGTTAGCAAGCAAAATGCCAATTTCTGAACACCTTGAAAATGTTTTTGACAGACATATCCAAGGGTAAGATGAGATCATTGCAGTGGACAATTCTCAGTCTACATAAGAGTAAACCCATCTACTTAGGAAAAAAACCATCTAAACAACTGTATAGCTGTATGTGGTGTGCATAATAAAAAAACCTACATCATGTACACTTGAGGGATCAGTATAGTCTTCTAGACAGAGGAGAAAATAAACACGAGACCTTGAAGACAACTATCCTGAGTAACATTAACATCTTCCTCATCTGCTGATGCTTTAACAAGCTTGGAATCTGCTTATTCCTCATAGTACTTCAATACTAATGCAGCTACTATTCCGTTAACACATGTACCTCTAAGATCTCATTATTCAAGGTGCAACACGTTCTTTGAGTTCCCATTGCTACAGCCATCTATCCCAGACCTTTGGGAGGCCAGTTGTTATTAGTAGTGGTCAATCATAATAATTGTAGGAAAATAATTTTAATGAGCAACAAAAAGCTCTTTACAATTCCTCAATCTCCTGGCATTAGTTTAGGGTAATTTAGGATCATTCTCAATCTGTCTGGAAATTGTGTTAGAGTTAATCCCAGGATCTGAAATGAATCTGAAACTAGGAGCTGAAATCAAGCAGTCCAGACTTTCACAACAAAGGTGGGTGATGGAAGGAGAAAGAACGTTGTTCATATTTCAGCCAGTATCAGTTGTGACAGTAAACAAACACGGTGAACTTTAAAGTATTGTTAAATAAAGGCTATTGCTACAATAAACCATGTTTGCGTGTTGCTATTATAAACTAGCTGTTTATTGAAGGGAATCAGTTCAGAGAGTTTATAATGGAACAAGACTATAAGAAGCATCAGCTACTATGTATTTTCATTTACTTTTTCTAATTGCACAAAATGTTTGGTGCCAGGTTTTGTATGACCACCAAACCCACATTCTTCAATCCAGACACACAAGAATTAGGGCTTCCATTTTTGGATTTTTCCTTTTACGGTCCATCAATTACTTGTTCTTTGGGGATAATGTGTAGACCTATAAACTTACTACACATACGCAATTACATTTTTAAAAAGAGGTCTGATACTTCATAAAGCTCACCAAGGTCTTGCAGTTCAATTATTTGTATGGTTCAACTTGCACCCACATTACTATCTATAACAGAAAAATGTCACTGGAATAATGCAGTAGGAAGGGTGGGGGTGGAATGATAGCTTGTTGCAAGATGATTAAGAGTCTCCAAAAAGCAATGTGGTTAGCTTTTGAGGGAGAGGTCACCTTAATGCTTCAAGGAGACTTTTCAAAAGGATCATGAATCTCACCAACCTGTCCCCTTTGAGTTTGCCTACAGATGAATTTCTAATTAAATTTTATAACAGTTTTCACAATTAAGCATGCAGCATTTCTTTACGCTTAGTTCTGGGGAAGCCACGGAGGAAGAAAAATAAGCACATCTCTAGGAACTTTCCAATCCTTGGTGGACCTGGCTGAAGAGGGTGACTTTCCCTTGGAACTACAAGTTGAAAAAATAAGGAATCTGGTGTTTCCAGTTCCTGTTAATGTCCAAAGCGAAGGAAGGAAGGAAGGAAGGAAGGAAGGAAGGAAGGAAGGAAGAAGGAAAGAAGGAAGGAGGGAGGGAGGGAAGGAAGGAAGGAAGGAAGGAAGGAAGGAAGGAAGGAAGGAAGGAAGGAAGGAAGGAAAAATGCTAGCCTTCTATTTCTAAAACCAGAACTACTTCAGTAGGACAGCTGCAGAAGACTTAAGGCTTTGCTAAGGAATGACCAACAGTCAATGTCACCTTTGCAAGTGTGCACCTTTTCCAGGTGGAAGAAGGAGGTGGGAGGGAACATAAAGATTGTGATGCACAGTACCTGTCGTAACTCCATCGACTGTAAGACATAGTCCTGTTGCCACCAACACCATCCATCCTCAGCAGCTCAGCACTTGCTTGTACTCCTGGGCAGTCTTCCCGGTTGTCAAATGAGACAAATAACTGAATGAGCTCTTGTGTCTTGTGGTTTGGAAACGGAGAGGCACCTGTCTCTGAAAACCTGAGCTAATTGGAAAGATGCTGCACAGGACCTGAAAGCTCTGAAAGATGGGTCTAGAATTAAATGCACAGCAACCAATTTAGTGAAGGTTCATAATCGGAGGAATGTACCACTGCCTTTTCCAGAGCAGGGGATTCTCTCTCAGCTCTAATTCTAATTCACACATGCTGTGCCAGCACCGGGAATATGACTGCAGGTTTTTTTTCTGGGGCAGAGCTCAAGCTGGTGGCAGACTGCAGCTTTATGTAGAGATGCTTTCAAGCCATTGTGTAGATGTGTAGCAATTGATTTGCGGGATGCATCTCCTACTCGAAGCTGCCTTTGTTATTTATCCATGTTACTGTTACCACAGATACAGCTCCATCTCATTTACATCACTTCTCTTTGGCCAATCACACAAACCCTCAATCTTTCAAACATTACCTACCTGCAGATGGATTGTGTTCCTGGAGTCCTCTGCTTGTAACGGAAATGAACCACAACCCCAGTTTAACTGGTTCAGTGGTTTTGCTTGATGAAGATCCCTGTTAAAAAAAGAGTTCATCCTTTTCTGCCTATATTCAAAGCTCTTTGTTTTTTAAAGTAAGACTGCAAAGTGAGACATCCAAGGCATTCTAGATTCAGTCAAACTAACCTCAGAAGCCAGTGCATTCCCTCCACTGCTACAGTGAGAACTAGAAAGTCCATGTTGTTGTTGTTAGTTGCAAAGTCATGTACAACGCATCGCAACCCATGGACAACATTCCTCCAGGCCTTCCTGTCCTCCACCATCCTCTGGAGTCAATTCAAGCTCACGCTTACTCCTTCGGTCACTCCATCCAGCGACCTCATTCTCTGTCGTCCCCTTCTTCTTTTGTCCTCAATCTTTCCCAGCCTTAGACTCTTCTCCAGTGAGTCCTTCCTTCTCATTAGGTGACCAAAGTATTTGAGTTTCATCTTCAGGATCTGGCCTTCTAAAGAGCAGTCAGGGTTGATCTCCTCTAGGACTGACCAGTTTGATCGCCTTTTAGTCCAAGGGACCCGCAGGAGTCTTCTCCAGCACCATAGTTCACATACTGTAGCCATACTGTGCATAGCCTAATACATCGTACATATATAATTGCAAATTTTAAAATAACAAACAAACATACAATACATAACTATGTAATACTTCTCAGTGGGAAGATGTTGAGCTATGTGCCAGCTAGGTCTGCTATCCAAGATCCAAACACTGATTGGCTCTTGCTGTTGACTCTTTTGAAGATTTAGAATTTTTTTTCAAGTAGATTTGGACAGAGCTTCAAATAGGAAGACTATCTTCTATAAAGGAGGGTCCACAAATGACTTGAACAAGGACCTAGGGAGAATATTGCACATGTTCAGTTTGTTTCATATGTATTTCTTTACTGATCTCCTCAAAACAAAAGCCTTGAGGGCTTCTGCTTTACAATGCAAGCAGATATTTTTATGTTTTCTACTTTGCAGGCAGTACTACCCACCAGGTGGAAGCAAGCAAACGTCTGAGATGAACTGAAAGTTTAATAGTCACCTTTTAGCATCCCAAGAGCATCGCAGGCGAGAATGTGGCCAACAGAAAATTGTGTTCAAGGTCTGGAGTTCTCCAGCTTTTAACTGGGCAAGGAAGCAAACAGGGAAGGTACAGAAGGAAAACAGTGGCTACTGTTGGCCAGGGAATCTGCAAAGATCACAGTCTTAAGAGGAAAGAGGGAAGGGATTGCAGAGATTCAATTTATGCTTGACCGGCCACTGTGATGATTTTAGCTTACATTTAGGATAATTGACATGAAAAACAGTGGCTCCCCAGAGCATCTCTGAATGAAATCCAGTTTGCATATGGAGCCAAAGAAAACAAGCACAAACAGAATTGCATCAATTTGCATCCCATCCCAATGCAAGGCAAAGCAGGCAGTGATTAAGGGACTAAGAATTCAAGGGGGGGGGAGCCATCCTTTAGCATGAAGGAAGAATTATAGAGATCAGAGGCTGTGATCTTTTCTATTAATGTGCAAAGATAAGGAATGCAGATATATCATATGAGTACCAAATAGAGGTGCATCATTCAAAAGATTACACTTTCCAGGCAGATCATAATTTTAAAAAAACTGCTTATGTCTTCACATTAAAGTTATCTGACATTTTGAGATTAAACTTTTTATAGCCTTCAAAATTATTTTACTTTTCTTTTAGAAGAATTGGGTTATGTATTATTCCCATTATCCTATTCTTCTGCTTGAGATCATGGCTTGGAATATGTATCTAGACCAGTGGTGGGATTCAAATAATTTAACAACTGGTTCTCTGCTCTAATGACCAGCTGGCTAAGCGTGGCTCAGTGGTCATGTGGGCGTGGCCAACTCAACGTCATTCAGCTCGATGGGCGCTTCGCCTTAGCTGTTACAATGTAATAAGGTTAACTGAAGAGGCAGTTTCTGTAAGCAGGGCAATAAAGATTAGGCTAGAAACAACACCAGAATGTTTCCTTCCTGCCTTCCTTGTAGGATTAGCCCTGCAAAGTGGGAAAAAAACAAAATGAGATTTCTTCCAACAACTGGTTCTCCAAACTGCTTAGAAAGTTACCAACCAGTTCTCCCCGAATAGGTGCGAACTGGCTGAATCCCACCACTGATCTAGACACATTTAAATGTAACTTTTCAATGTTTTACATTCTATAAATAACATTGTAATAGAAGCTCTCCACTCACCACCTATTTTCACTTTTCTTTTCTTGTGTTTTGGCTCTTTTCTCTTTGCAGCCTTGCTTTATCCTCCTGGAGAGCAGATTGCTGTCTTTCCAATAGGGTCGTGATAGTCAAACCATATTTTATGAACATGAAGATTCCTAGAAAATTAACTTTTGGAGTTCTGCATTTGCTATGTGAATGCTGATATAAGGTACTAATACTCCAAGTTTCCTTCCAACTCTTTTGTTCTGTATTCTGTATCCAGGAGGAAAGAACAGGAACAGAAACCAGTTTTAGAAAGAGGGTTTTTGATAGACCAAAATAGAACATGTAAAGTGATAGCAGAGACAAATCTGGTTAATATTACAATAGAAGATCTCCTAGAAGGTGGCAAATTAAATTGGAATTATTTGGGGAAAAATACTGCTAGAAGATGGCACTTGCAAATTCTTTTTTTTTTGTACCATTCCCAAGGAAATTATACAGATATCTCCATAAAACCATAAGGAGCAGAACTCACCCTTTGAAGAAGGTGTCATTTTTAAATATAACAGAAATTATAATATGCATTTCAGACAACCTGTCAAGAATAAAGGGTGGGAAAGATATGGAAAGAAAAATGAAGTGGTATAAAATTTTCATTTGCTGGGTGTGCAGGAAACTTTTGCATGCTACTGTGTATAAACAGACAGCAAACACCACACTCACTCACTGGTGATTTTACCTTGTCAGATAATTAAAGGTCTGTAGGGAAACAATCAAGCTAAGAGAGCAGCATGGACTCCACAGATAACTCTGCACATGTTAAACAAGTAACAGAGACCATCCATAAGCAAACCATATCTATATGTTCTCCTCTTTCACCATCTATACCTACAGCAGTGGTTCTCAACCTTCCCAATGCCGTGACCCTTTAATACAGTTCCTCATGTTGTGGTGACCCCAACCATAAAATTGAAAATATGTGTTTTCCAATGATCTTAGGTGATCCCTGAGAAAGGGTCTTTTGACCCCCAAAGGGGTCCCGACCCACAGGTTGAGAACCACTGACCTACAGCCTTACTATTTTTTTATTATTCTCACAGCATTCATGTCTTTCATCATGACTACAATATTACTGAATAACATTTACTCGGTTGCAATCTTCAGCCCATCACTATCAGTTCCATTCAATTTTCTAAAATGGGCCTTCCAGTATTCCTTCATTTCAGTTTTATTCCAAATCATTGTAACGTATTTATTTTAAAGTTCCTTCTCTCTGCTGCAAGCTCCTTACTTAGCTCTCTTAACCACTTCCAAAAATTATTTTTATTTCCACTGAAATTGTTCTTAGTTTTCTCTGTCTCATCTTATGTTAACTATTTCTTGCTCGTTGACTACATACTTTGCTATGTACTGTATCTTTTTCATACTGCAGACATTCTCATTTGTGCATTAATTGTTCTATTATATGCATTGTTTTGCATCTACTTCTTTCATGTAATCATTCCATTAGGCATCCTTTTACATACTTCTTTACATTTTTATTTTTATTTTGACTTTGTTCTCAGTAGTGGTCTAATTGTCTTTTCTTATGTATATGTTCTATTCCATTCCACTGAGGGTTAATCTGTCTTCTGATTAAGGAATAGACTATTTCTTTCAACAATGAGTCACTTGTTTCTTTTACACACACACCCAGATCAATAGTTGACATCACACACAAATTGTCATTCATTCCGAACATCTCATCAACCTTTGACTCCTTCATTATTATTTTTCAGTCTTTCATAACAAAATCAAATCAGTGAGTGACGCATTTAGATTTTTATTCATTGCCTAGCAATATGGTCAGGTGAATAAATTCATTCTTCAGCTATAATAGTACTTTGGTACTCCTCATTAATTGGTTCCAGGAGGTGAGATGAGTACCAGAAACAGTGAGTACCAAACATTTTTTTCCCCAAAAGAAATAATGTAGTGAGCCACAAGGCAGCTGATGCCAACACGTTCTAGCTTGTGCACTGAGTACCAAATAAACAATGAGTATTGGGATAAAATTTTCATGTCAAAATGTGCTGAATATCAAATTTGATGCATTTCAAAGCAGTTGAGTATCAAAGTGCCACTGTATATCTGAATTAAACATTTCCCCCCCTAAACAAATATCTAGTAGCTGAATTCTCATTTTTTCTTAAGTATCTGAATAACTCAAGCACTTCTGTCTACCTTCACCTTTTATTTCCACCCTAGATCTCATTCATTCAGAATATTGCATTTCCCCCTCCCCCCAAAAAAACTCATCTTTGGCCAGTATATATCAAAAATGCTACCCAACCAATTTTATTACCATCTTCTCCTAGATTGCTATACTGTGCAATCTAGATTTCTAATCCAGAAAGTTCCTGCAAGCCACTATACTGTCTCCTGCATCTCTGCTGGAGTATATTAAAAATGTTACCCAAACCAATGTTATTACAGTCTTCTCCTAGATAACAATACTATGTAATCTAGGCTTCTAATCCAGAAAGTATTTTTCAAGACAGTATACTGTCTCCTGTATCATGCT